GTTAAAACATGGCTGGATGAAGTTGGGCCATTGGTGAGTAGCGGATTTTGTGGCTCAGTTGCTGCATTGTGATATGACATGCTCCAGTCCAGGCTCTGGTAGTTAAATGGTAATAAAATTTAATGCTATTCCTTTGAAAAGGCTGTCCTGATGGAGAGTACACAGCAGAATAGAGTACATCCCAGACACTGGAGAAAGTGAACAATTTATTGGCAATTGTGTCAAGGAGAACACAGACACTGCAGGGGGCAAACCTGACTCTGAATAACGACGTAAAAGTGCTGTTGGTTTCACTGGGAATTTTGCCTCTGCAAAAACTAAACGGGGAGGGTTAAAAATTTGCAGTAGAATAGTGGTATCAGAACAAGGATAAACCTGAAGTTATTAGGAATTACTTTTCTGAATATAGTCTCATGCACCGTCTAAATCCGGTTTCAGATGGTTCCTTATCTTGCGTAAGTAACGTTTAAGAATGGCTTATCTTCATTGCGTCTTACATAAACATTTTCCTTCATTTAGCACAATATATTGTACACTTTACCAGGAAGTAAAGCAGCCATGTCTGCTCCACTATAAGCACAAACTATTTGAACATAACTCTGTTTATGTTTAGATTGTTAGGAAAACTGAAGTAATATCTATAACTTGTCTCCCCAGCTTCAGAAACAGTATGTTCTTCATTCATATTAAAATCATAGGGCCACATCTCAGAAAATAATTTCATCAAGTCACAGAACCACTTATAACTTGCTGGTATTCTTAAATATCAGTGGAATTTGAACAGATTTGCCCAGAAATTCCTCAAATGGTATTTCAGGGATGGAGAAATGGTTGCAACTTGATCAGTTCTGCAGGTCAAACTCTGCAGACACCTGGGCTCTTTGTGTTTGCTCATTCAATTCCCCAGCTCCATGTGATTAACCCCCTCATACCCTCTCTTTCAAGGATTCACTTTATATTTTTCACACCCTTTACAATGTCATTCTCTTGTCCTCCATTTTACTTGTCAACCCAGTGGGGCATTAATCTCATTCAGTATCCCCCCACCTACTTATTTTTCCCCTTTTTTCCCCTAGGCTTCTTTACCCTTTCTCTTGTAAAAAAATCTGAGTGCTTGCAATGTCTTTTCTCCTCTTTGACCCATATCTCGAATTGTTCATTAAGAGTGCTGAACTGTTGCAGAGATGCTTAAGGTGCCTTGCAAGTGGCTTGTTTTTTTCCTATTCCAGCTTCTTGTTGGTGTTTGGTTTTTTTTTTTGTTTTGTTTTGTTTTGTTTGCTTGTTTGTTTCATTTTTAAGGATTTTTGGTTAGAATACATATAATATTTTTGAAAGAATGAGATGCACTGTTCAAAAATAATTCTTTTATATGCACAGTTACGGGCGGACAGGCAAGACAAAAATGCCATTCAGTTCTATACATGAATCACAGGACTGGAAAAAATGGCAGAGAAAAATATAGGGACATGTTACATGGCTGTTCCTTAAGTCAAGCAGTAAGTTATTTTTCAGCATTTCAAGTAATGAAGACATTCACATGAAAAATTCTTTTTAAGTAGAGTACACCCAGCAAAACAGTGTAAATGTATATATGAAGACTGCACATAATTGCAAAGTACAAGATTGACTGTCCAGTTCAAAAAAAAACCAACACTTGCCTCACTTCCTTTTTAACAGCGAGCACGAAAGATGAAATTTAAAGACCAAATACTTCCATCAGTAGCAGTGGCAGTATTCTACCAGTCCCACAGGGATTATACATTTTTATCCAAGTCAAGGACATATTTATCTCAGTAATATACTTTTGATGAAATATACATAAAAAGAAAAAACAAAGAAAGATGAACTATGGCTTCTGTTGCATCATCGTTACTGGAAGTAGCTGTGGTTCATAGAGTTTGGTTTGCTGACTGGTTTTATATATTTTAATTTGAAAATCTCTCAAAACTTATTATGCATTCTTAATAAATTAACCTCACCACCCCCATTCAAATGTTACATTCTAGCTACAGAAGAGTTCAGTGATGCAAAATTTGAACCCTGGTACAATGAATTCAGTGAAATTCTTTTAAGGAGTCCAAGGCCTCACCAAAAGAAATTATTTTGACATCAGCAGCTGTAACATGCTGATGGGGCCAAGGAATCCTGTCACTACTGAAAAAAGTTAGTGCCAATAGTCAACCATTGCCAGACGCTTACACTGACTACAGCAGACTACATTCTCCAGGGGTGAATTCAGCATGTTTTCAGGAATCTGTTTTTGTTTTGTTGTTCTAAGTTATTAATTTAATGTCATTTTAAGAAAATCAGCTTAAATGAAATTAGTCTGAATTTCAAAAATGGTTAACATAACCTTTCATGTTATCAAGGGATACCAATAGAAACTATGGATGTAGCAGGAAAAAAGGGAAGATGTGAGATCATCATCTCTACAGATGAAGCCATACAGTGCACAGTCATGTAGAGGTCAATCAGTTTTGTATGTTTATCAGTTACAATTTCTAGAACACATTTTTGCCTAATGATTCATGGAAAACTAAGGACATGACAAATAAGTGAAGCAATGAAACATTCTTTCTACTGAAACAGGATGAAATAGCTGAAGTTTTGAATTTCAGAAGCACTTGTAACCATTCCTTTTCTTGTCCTTCCTGCTGGCATGTGTGCACGCCTGTCAGGTGAATCAGACGAGTACATGGATCTGGCTCAATCATTCTTTTCCTTGCATTTCTTTTCAATTGGATTCAATTCCCTTGTCTTATTAACTTCACAGCTTTAAAAACTTGCAGAACTGAGAGAATAGAGAAGAATGGTCAAAGAGACGGACTGTTTACAGTAAATGCTGCTGTCAACAGGAATTTGCAATAAGCCGTCACCTGCACAGCCCTGACTAGGTTCCTGGGCACTGATTGTTGTTACCACTTCTCAGGAATAGCATTCTGGAATCTCACTACCCAGCTAAACTTGTCATAAAAATCCTCAAGTTCCTTCAATAATTTATAAGTGTCTCCTAGGGTTTAAATTCTGTATCTCTGATGTAAATACATCAGAAACATGTAACAGCTGAAGCCCATTGCTGGCTTTGTACAGGCATCGCAAAACCTTGACCTGTTTTGCTCTTTACATGCATACGCATATCAATTTGCCTTGATTTTATTTTATAAGTGCCATATGAATAGCTTTGAATGGCTTTTTCTAAGGATTGTCTTCATTCTCCCATTTCCAGTTACCAAGGGTCAAGTTCTGCTCTTTGTGCCACATGCTTTGTTACACCTGAGGCTGTTCATATTCCTTTGTGTAAAATGGGTGGCTTCTCTGACTAGTGGTAAACAATTAGTCCAACTATTTGACCAGAATTTAACAAAGCTGGAGACTAAATTAAATTCTCCAGCTTTTCTAAGACAGGAAGCAGTAGGGTTGTTTTGAGAGAGCACTATTTAATAGAATTTAGTATGTATTTTGATAAAACCAAACATAATTCTTTTCAATGGATGTATACAGAGGTTGCTTGGAATATTTACAGTCTCAGCTTTGTTGTAAGTAGTAAGTTTGAGCATACTTTATGAGTAGCTAGTGGACAATGAAGAAGACAAAGGGATTATAATTGCATTTGCCTCAGCATGTTCCACTAGAAAAATGATTTTATTATTCTCATATGACTCCTGACATCAAAGTGCAGGTAATATTCTGAATAAATCTTTGGCAAACATTATTCTTCATCTCTCATATGTTTTTTTAAATATTTATTTTATTTCTACAAATGTAAATTCTAGTGCATTGACAGCCACACTTTTCCTGTTCTGTTAGAAATTTCTTAGATTCACACTGAGGACTAGCTTCCTGTGTTTTACAGAGTGTTTGCTTCTGTCAAGCATTGCTGATTTGATACACAATGCCACTCATTTCAGTCTACACAGGCCGCCATGTCCCAGGTTATTTTCACATTAGTACATTAAGTGCAAATAACATAGTCAGCTTTTAAGTTGAATGGAGTTATAACCAGGAAAATACAAAATGTGGTATCCCTGTAGCTACTTAATTTGGCTGCTATTTATTCTCAGTGTACCAAGTCCACAAATGTACAACAGAATCATTAGCCCATATATTACATTTTTTTTTTTACACATACATTGTTTTCCATTTGTTTTATTACTGGAGCCATTACCAATTACAATTCATCATTCAGATGATCCCAGCAACAGGTGGCATCATCAGTCCATGTCCTGGTCAACTCATTCAGGGAGAGTGGTAGAAATGTTCCTGATGCTGGGTGAAAATATTAACTACTGCATAACATATTTAAAAATAGATACTAAGAAAGGAATTATTCATTTAAAACATTCAGCCAGACATATGCAACATAAGGAAAGTGAGGTTTAAATAGTTTACGTGAAAATTCTTGTAAAAGCAAATGCATTCAGAAGCCACTTTACATGAAAACCTCATCAAATCAATGTCAAAATTCAAATGTCTATTTTTAATGTTTTTCTTCCAGTCACACAATTGTGCTGTCCCTAGAGTAAACAGTAAAACACATTTACCTGACGTGAGTTATCCCAGTGGAATAATTTGTGCAAATAAAGCTTAGCACATGTCAAGTACTGGAGCTTAGGTCAAAAGCATGGAAAATTTCCAGCATCAGAAACAAAAGGACATGTTCATGGAATAAAAAATGGGAAATGTTTTATCGTTTTAAGTAAACAGACACACCTAGTTTTTAGACTCGGATCGTCATCCTTTTTTAGACTGTGCCCAAGCCTCAGGAGACATTTACCTTGTAAAGTTCCCTGCAATTCTGCTTGCCCAATTGACTAAATTCAAGGCCTGTCGGGAATACACAGCTTCTGTCTGGTTCATGTGCCAAGGTCCCCATTCCGCAGAATGAAACACAGGATGCAGGCAATAAGGGGGAATGGGATGATAAATACTCTAGTTGTTGTCCCATTGTAATTTGGCGATTTAACGAAGGAGCAAACAAATACAGCTGGGGGAGTCATTCCTGGGTTTTGTGGTGTAATAATTTATTGACTTTCTGTGGTCATCTGTAACAATGCTTTATGATTGCTTTTGTCTTTGAAAGAATTAGTATTGCAACAATGAAGGCCTTGGATTTTACAAGGAGTGAGTCAGAAGAAATAGATGAACAGATACCATAACAATGAATAGAGTGTAAAATGAATGTTTCCACTTTTTGTCTTAGAAAAAGTTCGAACTGCATCAAGTATTCCATACTCCTGAAGCTGAAATGAAAAGTGAGAAAGAAACGTCTATGGAAAATGTGAAAACAGAGCTTGCGGGTGAACATTTCATGGCCTTGAGCAGATTTTCATACATGAAAAGGAAATGTCCATATTTAAGCTACAGTCTGGAAGTTACACTGGTTTGATTGGTTTGATCTTCCCAACCGCATCTGATCTTTTTTATCTTTTTCCTAAAACATGGGAGGAGTAGTATGCATTTGCAAAGCAGAACTACAATAGGAAGTAAAACTGCTACCATAAATGAAGGTGGTGTATACCAAATAAATTGATTAACATCAACCCACTTATTCCAGGCAAACACCAGTGCGTGAACAGTGCATAGCAGCAGAGCTAAATATCCCATCTTGCTCTGAAAAGAGAAAGAAAATAGTAAGCTTTCTTTCTAACTTGGCAAAAAAAGTACTTTGTTAAGCAAACACGGAAATCAGGAGGGACCTCAACCAACACACCTAAGTCAAAGAAAAGAGACTATTGGCTTTAAACTAAAATTTAAGAACTATAATTCAAGAATCCAACTATACCCCTCTATGCCACTGTAAGAGTAAACAGATGAGGCACATATTTCATGCACTGCTATTATACTTTGCTAATACACAGAAGAGATTACAGATTACAGGCTATTCCTGAAAAGGGTCAGTTCTCAATACCTCAATTTGTAGATGTCAACTGTATCCCAAATTACTTTATTTCTTTGATAAATTATTGTGAGTTCAAAAGCAGATTTATAAATGGTTATCAATTATTTACAAAGAAAAACTTTAAGGTCAATTAATATCAGAAGCTGTAGTGAGTACAGTACTGTGACAAAAGCCATTGCACAACTACAGGAAACTGAAGTTTTTCATTCCATTATAATGAAAAATTTGGCTTAGGATGTCTACTAAATACAGGTGTAAAGGATGTTTTATGCTAGAGTTACTAGTAATTTTGAGATTCTTGCTGTGTAAGAATCTTGATATTGTTGGAAGAATGGAATTACCTACTAGTGAAGACAAACACTGCCTTTCCAACTGCTAAATCTGCAGAATCTGATTTTCGAGCATAAGTTTATTTGTTTATAAACAAATCTAACATAGTAGTATTACTCTTCTGGGTTTCTTCACCATGTTAATTTTGTTCTGAAAGCAGTCACGCATTCAGAGGCTCTCTTCTAGACCTGTCCATATATATTCTCTGTAGAGCTGAAAACTTTTCTTACAAACGACGTACTCCACAGAGTGGGCAAAATCTCAGATCAGTAATTGCGGGAAGATGCATATTTCAGAGCTACTTTTCAAATTCAGATCAAATTTTCAAATGTCAGGTACTTATTAAGTCATTGAATTTTAAGATTTTGGTGTTCAGGGCCCTAATTCAACACTTGCTTAACTTTAGTGTCACCATACTGATGCCAGCAGAACCACCCCTTATTATTACTGTGTATGATACAGGATAACTAGGAGAAAATGAGATACTTAGGTGAACAAAACAAGCACATCTGTAGCGAACTAAGGACTGGCTGCATTTGATTATATATCTGTTCTAAGATGTTTCCTTTTCAGGATATACCTTTTGGTGGGGGCTATGAAGCTAATGGAAAATCTTTGCCTATATTATTGGGCAGAAGTCTTCCTCTGGACTTTCCAGTCACCTGGTACTGCTCAGACAGTAAAGAATTGCCAAGGTAGCTCCAAGGGAGCAAGAAGTATTTCTCCTTATGCACTGTGGTATATAGGAACAGCACTGGCTGGTTCAATACCACCTACTTCCAATTCAGCAGGACACAGGGCCTTCCTGAAATATAAGATACCTAGAAGGTGACTTAAGTGCCTTCAGCACCAGAGGTCTTTGACCTAAGAATACGTCCTGAAGGGACAACTGCTGCTCATCACAAAGGCAGAGGAGCAAAGAAGTGGTTTGGAGTTGTCTTTCTTCCCATTTTATACCCTGAACCTGACAGTCTTTTCTCCTGACAAAGTAACAGATGAAATAAACATTTCTTGCAAAGCAACTGACAGAGTACGAAACAAACTCTTAGGTTGATTTCTCTAACTTCTCTGTGTTTGATATTTCTAACTCCTAATGATCTTAGCTGATAACATGCAGTCCTACAAGTGAGGACTAATGACATGCAGTAATGACATTTATGCATACCTGAATGTAGTGGAATTCTCTCCAGGTCAAAGAGTGACTGACAGATGGAATTGATGTTATTGCCAACAAGGCCAGCAAAGCAAGTCCCAGAATTCCTAGAGACACATAAATCTCCATTCTCCAAACATCATGTTCAATCCAGGCATTTTCTTTTTTTTGTTTTACCTGCCAAACAAACACCATATTTAACATGAAACACTGGCATACTCTTCTGTTTGTATGAAATACACCTGTTTTCACCATAATATTCAGGAAATAAGCCAAGAAACTTGATATTTTTGTTTGCTTGAATGTTTCTGAATGTAACTGTTATTTACTTCTGATGACAGTCTCCACTGCAGTTATGTGCAAAGCAAAGTTGGACTTTAAATTAGAAGAATTTAGACTTCATCAGTGTCTTGGTCTATGAGAGACTGGTTCTGAGACCTGTTAGCCTTCCTTCACAGCAGGAGAAATCTTACTCTTTGACAAAAAAATTTTGTCTATGACTAAATACCATATCTGAGAGCTTATAACAACAGGAAATATATTAATAGCACTATTTTAGGGAGCTAATTCAGCAGGCATTCTTAATGATGGTATCCTGCCAAGATAGTTGTTTAGCTCTATTTGTTTAAAAACAACTTAACAACTTGGTACATTCAACTTCACTGAATACAACAGCTGGTATGAATGAAAAGGTTGTGATTTTAATAAACTGGTGTTAAAGCTTCTCTTATTTATGACCACTTGCAACAGCCCTTTGATGCTGCTAGTTCTCACCATGGTGTAATATGCCCCAAATATGATAACTTCTTCATCTTGAAGACTGGAATTTCAATTAAATTTCTGGTAATCAGATTACCAGTAAAGCTGATTTCAGTTTTCAACAGGTTCAACTGTTTACAGAATTCATAACATCATACTGTACCTTTAAATAAAACTCTAGATTAGGCTTTGGGGGTAATAAAACATACATTTGCAGTCTATACCTTATATGTGAGTAGTCCTTGCACTCAACATCACATGCAAGTATTAGGAACTCTCTAGTCACAGAAGATCTTGGAGAGATTTGGAAGCCAATTATTCTCCACGACTCAGAAGCATGATTGAAATTCTATCTTTTAACAAGTTAGTGTGCATCATCCCAATTGTGGAGCCATCAGTGTTCACAAATTTAGTTTGTGGCAAATACAGATTATTGTGATTTAGCTCAGCCCTCCTTCACTGTTGGCTAATTCATGTTAGAAAGAAGATGTCTAAAAATAGTACATGCTTAATTTTTGTAGATAGATTCCACCTGGGCAGAGAAGGTTAATCCACACTAATAGTGTGCCAAAGACTTATATGTTCCTGTGAGGCAGGTATAATTATGTACATATTGCAGAGATAAAAAATCCCAAATGAAGAAAATGACTTATATAACACACACTGGCACAGCTGTGTTCACTTTGACTCTCTATTACATGCTTTAACAACTAGGTCCTGCTCCATCCCTTAGTGCTCTGTAGGGATCTGCTTCAAAAATCAAAGGAAGGCAGTGAAAACATTTTTCCCACCATCCAGATTTGCTTGAATAATCAAACCAAGGATTTTCTGAATACATTTTTTTTTCTGAATAATTCTGTTTGCATATTCATCATACCTGCTGGAATGCCCAGTTCAGCAACTTGTATCTGTATGATCTTCTCATTGGATAGCATAGGCTATAGCAGGCGTGCATTGTAGCGAAGAAAAAACTGAGAAGTCCAAATTGCTTTCTTGATAACATCCATCTATCCAGCCACTGAGGAAACCTTTTATACTTGGTGCCAAAGTACAACTGGAAACCAGCAGCTAATATTCCTGGTAAATATACTAGTGCTAAAAGGGTAATTGAAACCACTGGTAAAACTTTGTTTATGACAAGGATTGGAATTTTATAGAAAACGTTTTCCTTTTTGGTTATAAAAGGATATATGACATCTCTCATAGAAGTGTAAATAAATGTTAATAATGAGAGCACGCATGCTATCTTCATTGGTAAGTGCCACTTGGGGAACAGATCCTGCTTGCAGTGTTGTTCTGAAGAATGTTCAAACTCACTAAAATGGTGTGCTCGATGTAAATTAAAAAGTGCAGCTGCTTCTGATGGATTGGTGACTTGCATATCCACATTCTGGAAAGGACAGAAAGGAAATACCAAGTGAGTTCAAGAGAAGTTTGAAACTTCACTAATGGCAATATTGCCATTGTGGCTTTTACACTGTACTGCACTGAAACCATATACAAAACATACACACTATTATAAACAAGGTAGTTTGAAAACACAGCATTTTAAAACATAGTCAGGAGTTAAGCCAGGCACTTTTAATATAGATTTCTCATTCTTCATTCATTATCTGTGGTCATTTCAAAATAAATTTTAGTTTTCAAGAAGTTAACTACACCACAAGGGAAGATGGATTACATTATGTGAAGCATCATTACAGCTTCTTATATGAGCTACAGATTTCAAATGTCAAATTTTAGCTACAGACTTAATGATGTAGCCCAAATATGCAAAATAACAGCATCAAGATCAAGACATTAAAATATTTCATCCAGTCACTGCTATTTTCATGACATTTAATTGGGGAATACAGATATAAATAGAAATATTTGGGATCCAGCATATTAGGCAAGCTGCACATTGGTCAGCCCTAGCATCAAGTCCTATGGTCTTCTTCCTCTCCTTCACAAAGTCTTCTTAATTTTTATGAAACCTTGTGAAACTGAGTCACTTCAGTTTAAAAAGTTGATTTTTCTGCTGCCAAATAAGCATGCCTTGATTGTAGTCTCACGGATCTTGGCAGAATTATCATGGACTTCAGAAGGGGCTAAACTAGTACAAAATTTTGGAGTAATATGATAAACTGTATTACATGGTGATAAAAGATACATAAAAGATTAAAGATTCATGGAAGAGGTATATGACCACTGTACATACAAAATGAAAACACGTGTATCAACAGTAGGACATTGCACTTGATGCATCAGAGAGCTGACCAGGGGTGGAGAACTGATAACATTAGGTAATAAACAGGTAAGTCCTTTAACATTCTTGTGAAATTTGAAGTAAAACTGAACTAATGATGCAATGGCTCAACTTTAGAATGGCTAATGTAGCAGATGTCCAGACCTCCAGAAGTGAAATGGCACTGTCCGTTTTGAAAAGGACAAGTAGCTTGGAAGTTGTAAATTAGCATCCTTTTAAGATACAAGAGATCTTCCTATCTCAGCAATGTTATCTGTCTTTATGCTCAAGAATCAGATATCATACTGAAGCTGATCACGGGGTCAATTTAAACAAGTTACTGCTTGTAAATAAGGTAAGGCTACGTAGCTGTGAATCTTGTGTTCATTTTTGGAGAAAGGTGTTTTGTTTTAGCAGAAAGATAAAAAAATGTGCATTGCTATCTTGCAAAAATCCCAGTTGGAGACGAGGTAACCTTGACGGACAAAATCACATGAAAGATTGCAATATTCTGGGTGACATCGGAGCTGCTTTTTTTACAGAACTTCATCTGTTTTCGCAGTTTTTTAAACTTTTACCCAGTTTTTTTTTCTTTTTACCTTTTTTTTTATAATTTATTTACTTTTTTTTTTTTACAGAAACATTACCAAGTTGCCAAAGTTTCCTGTATTTCTTCTCGGCATGATGTTCTGACTTGCATTCTGATCAATGGCATGTTTATCACTTTGCTGCTTCTCCATTACAGAAATTCCCTGCAAAGCAAACACAGAATGTAAAACAGGTTTTGAAAAGCCCTGATCTTGAACTTTGGGGCCTATTTTCCCTTCAACTGTTTTCTTCCCTCTCCTCCACCCATATACAGGAGAAGGTGTGATAATCTGTCTTCTGAAAAGATAACAGAAAAGCTTGCTTATTTTTTCAGAACAAAATCATCGATGAAAAATAATATTTAAGCTAAATGCCCATGTCACCAGTGGAATGAAGGCATTAACTCAGGCTGAAAGCTTTTAAGTGATAGCAAATAAGTGTGAAACAGCTTACAGAAATAAAATGTAAAATGTTATGAAGATGGATTTTTGGAAAGTTCATGAGACTTGTTGACCCAAGAAGCCCATGCAAATGTGTTGTTCCTAATATTTTTTAGGTTTTAGGATTGGTCTACCTGACAGTCACTCAGCAGCTTTAGAGGTATATTCTTCCTTCAAGACTGTCAGGAAATTCCAGCTGGAGCTTTGCTCATGCTGTTTCAAGGTATACTGGCAGTACTCATCACCCACAAGTACCAGCAGAAATGGTTCTAAGCTATTGAGGATTACAAGAAATCAGAAGCCAGGGGAAAAAAAAAAATAAATAAATGAGGGAGAATAGATAAACTGATGGATGTTTCTGAAAATCCATCCTAGGATAGCAGGAAAGACAATATCTTGAAGGCTGTAAAGTAACAATGAGAACTGCAAGGCCCCTGCATCAGGGTCCCATGTGTGCATCCCACTGTTGCACACTGCAGGAGGAGAGGTGCTAGCACCGCACCACTGGAAGCTCTGGGTGCCATACTACAGCCTGATTTTCTGTGGCTACCTTTAAAGCAGTGACAAAGTAGCTCTTGCAGGTACCTTCATACTGAACAGCTGAATTACTGGATAGGAAACTGTTTTGCTAACAACTCATTCTTTTATATTCATAAACCTTTTGGGAAATTGTATGGACAAATCAGACTTTGACAGCTGACCTTTTCTTACTGTGTCTGGTTCTTCAGTGGGTAAGTCCTACAGCCTCATACTGTCTGCTATGAGGGTTTGCTTTCTGCCAGGCCACCAGACTCCTGAAGCCAAAGTATTATTTTCCTAAGTATTTCACTTTGGGTTTTTCCCTCCTGCTAGCAAGTTCTACCTTTGGGCATAACCTTTCAGCCAAGTGCTGCAGAGTAGGGTCAACAAGAGCTTCTGTCTGAAGGTCAGGCTATTAACCCTTCCCTACACCAGCTAATGAATGTTTTGTGTATCCTGCACACAGAAAGCATGGGCTGAAGAAGGCACATTTCTATTTTTCCCTGCTATTCCTATGGCTAGTCCCAGTGATTTTATCAGAACTTTCAAGCTATCAGATATCTTCATAAAACTTCAGCTCATGCAGTCCCCTGATTAGTTAAGAATTTCAACTTCTGTATGTTTCAATATGCTGTATGTCTACCTGTTACAATGGCAATGCCAACAGAACTCAATATAACGTACCTACCTGGAAAAAACGAGCAACAAATAGGACGAGCTCCAGATCTACTTTTAAAAGAACACATTATATGAAGGGCAGTCATACTCTTTACTCTTTTTGGGGCCTACCCTCTGATTTTTGCAGTATAATGGTTTTTAATAAAAGGACAAAGTTACAGACTGCCTTTTTATTCTTTTAGATAATGAGACTGACTTCTTAGAATTGTTAAAACAGTTTGTGGCTTGGGTCTTTTCTGCTATTTCATTTTTATTTTGTTTTTTTCTTTACTGATCTCCACTGAGCTTTCAACTGTTAATATCCCCAGTCTATGTGAGCTTACACGGTGATACCAGTCGCTGAAATAACTTTCCTCTTCTGACCCCCACACTGTCTTGGGGGTCCAAAAGCATATTTGGATTGGGAAGCTCTGTGTGGAAGAGCTTGACTCACTTGATTCTCATCTGCTATCATTCCTAATTTAGAAAATTTAGAAATGAAGAACCCAGTAATGGTTTTCAGGCAAAGGTTTGTATTGATGAAGATGTACCATGATGAAAAACAAAATACGCATGAGCTGGAAGGCCAGCTGCTGATCCTAAATGCTGATTTTTAATGGTTATTTGGGGAAACAGTGCTTAATACCATGTTAAATACAGCATTAATGGTTTATGCAGCAGAAGACAAAATGAAAAAAAAAAAGAAGAAATATGTGTAAAAAATTAATGCATGTGCTCATCCATGGAAATACGGGCTACAGCCAAGCGACCGCATGAAGGAAACATAGGTGTCAAATGACAAAGTCCCCTTGGCTTCTGATACCAGTTTCAACACAAAATTATTTCTTGAGTAGGCCCAGTAACAAAGCACAGTAACAGCCTTGGAAACTCTTAAGTACAACTCACTTAGAATTCCACTATACATTGTCCTATGAATTGTCAGAAAGGAGTCATCTACAGCATGCATCTTTTTGGAATACTTCTTAAGAAAGAAATTTAGGAGTTCTGTGGAAGACAAAAACTCGTCATTTGTAGCCCTGCCTAAGTCATAACTGTTATGAAAGACAACAGTTGCACTAATGTCCATTCCCAGTGCACACCCCTTCTGCTCTGGGAGGCAGCTGAGGATGGGGATGCTGAGCTACAGGAAGCCGATTTCCCAACACTGTGAGTACACTACTGCATTTTGTACCAAGAAAACAGGCTCTTTATAAGGCTGAGCCAACAAGTACTCATACTGTGCAGACATCACCCCGGGGAAAATCTCACCCGAAGTCAATGAGAGGTTTTCTCTAGTAAAGAGTTTCAGGGCTGGCACCCTGAAAAAAAGACAAATGGGCAAAACAAATAGGCTATTATAATGTGGATGAGGTGTTGGCAGAGGCATGGGACAGGGCCGACATCTCTCTCCTTTGGCGCTATTTGAACATGACAAGGTGGGAGCGTTAGGGATAGCTGCCTCGCTCCTGCAGTGCCAGCCGCACCGCGCAGGACGGTGTAAGCACTCAGCGCAGGAGAAAATAACTTACCCTTAACTTACTCTTCAGGAATTCTGCTGAGCTCTGTGGAAAACCTAATGAAAGGCCGGGGGGATGGGAGCAGGAGCGCGTCGCTCACCGGTCCTCCTCGGTCACAGCCGCCGGGGCAGGGCCGGGTGGGCTGCCCAGCCCGACGCCCGGCGCTGAGAGCCGCTCCGCAGAGGAGCCCGAGCCCGAGCCCGAGCCCGAGCCTGAGCCCGGTAGAGGGACCCGTCCTGTCCCGTCCGGTCCCGACAGCCGCGGGTCGGGCGGGGCTCCGCTCCGGAACCCGGCCACGCGGGCGCGCTTGGACACCTCCCCAGAGGCTCCGCCAACGGCCGCTCCCCGTTTCCCCTTGCCCCGGGGCTCACGCACCTCGTCCCGCAGCCTCCTCCCTGTGGGAGGCCCAAGTTCCTCCCGCGGGGGCAGGCGGCGGTGTCGGACTTCGGCTCGGCTTGGCAGGGGGGCAGCCCCTGGCTGCGGCGGTGCGGGCGCCGGTGCTCGGACTCGGCGCGGCTCTGTCGGGGGAGGCGGGCTCAGGTCAGCGGCGGAGAGCCTGCCGGACCCTGAGGAGGGGAGGGGAGGGGAGCGGAGCGGGGGCCTGGCCGCAGCCTGCACCTCCCCTCCCGGCCCCGCCTTCCGGGGGTCTCGTCCTGTGTCCCGAGCTGCGGCAGCTGTGGGCATATTGGGGCGCGGAACGGCGGTGCCGGAGGGGAGACCCCGAGGTGCCCGGGCGGCCGCCCCAAGAAAAGCCCAGCTGTAGATCTGCTGCGGCCTCGGCTGGACAAAGGGCGCGTTCACCTGCGCCCTCTCCGCCCCGCAGAAGGTGGGGAAGGAGGAAGAGGAGGTGAAGGAAGAAGAGGAGCCGAAAGAATAAGAGGCGCCGAGATGCTCTGCCTCCCCTTGTCTCCTGCAAGTTCAGTCACACAGTAGAATGAACTATCATTATACATCTTGTGGGAGCTCTGGTCTAGTGGCTGTTTTGATGTTTGGTGGCTGACACTGCAGAAAACATGGACAGTCCGTCTGAAATGTTTTTATTTCCTCACGCAGGGCTCATTGTGTTTTCCTCAGGTTGTCTTCACAGAAATGATGCCAAGTTCCATCTCTTTGTATCTTGTGAATATATTTTTTCCTCCTTCTCAGTAGATGTTAAGTAGACGTAGACTTCAGCTGAATGCTACATCCGGCAGAGAAGAGGAGATTGACTTAAAAGAAATGAAAATCACAATAATTCTCTTGTGTTACAACAAACCCTGAACTTTTATTTATTTTCTTTAGTTACCTTCATCAACGTATTTGCCTGTGCTTTGCATTAAGGCTATTTCCCACGTGCTTTCCATTAGTTATTTTTGCAAGGAATGCTGACTTCTGTATGCTCTCACTTTGTGAAAGTCGTTTTTCTTCGCTCCTTTTTTTCTCCTTCGGCCTGTCTTTTAACCCAGCTCCCAGCAGAGAGCATCATCAGGGTGACGCCTGGCGGTGGGAGCACTGGGGAGGAAGCCGCCTGCAGCAAGGTGCACGGTAGTGTCGCCCTACACACCAGCTAAATGGGAATTTGTAGTCCAAAGGGCTAAAAGAATTGCCTTATTCAAAGCGAAACCCCATGGTAAAGGTATCCCCAGAAGTCCTGGTGTAAGTTAGTGTTATGAGGATTAGATTTCTAGCCCAAAAGGTATCTCAGGATGCTGAGAGATTTCAGGATCTGGATATCCTATCTTAAGGCTAGAATATCCTTAAGATATCCTTAGCCTTTTCATAAAGCACACAAGAGCTAAACCCCTGCATAAATATTCTGAGAAGATGAAGTGAAAAGCCAGCCAAAGTGAACCTGGCTATTAAAGAAGTACCTAGTAAGCTGCTCTGCACAGATGCTCCTAGGAATCTTTGGACAAGCAATCCCCTCTCTAGTCTCTGCATCCTGAGGGCTATTAGGTGCCTGTCTGTGAATAAAATGGGAAGTTCATTTGCTGTGGGTGCTGACAAAATGGAAGAAGTTTCAAATGCTAGGGAAAAACTTTCCTTTCATGGCTACCCTAAGGCATGACTTCCAGGTCATTCAGAGTACTACCAGTTCGTTCTGAGTACTACCTGTATTAGAGTGGTACTGGAAGGTTAAGTGCATGGCAGTTCTCCTGCAGACTGTTAATCTGCATCGTACTACTGCATGCTGTCAGCTTTGAACTGGAATTTATGCCAAGTGCTGTGCAAGAAGTGTGAGACTTAAAGTAGGAAACACCACAGGAATCAGGATTTGATTCAAAATGAAATAATTTCTCTTGGCACATGCAGAATGGGCATGATCTCACTGGCAAAAATTTAAAGCTGTGCAGGTTTGGCTAGCTCCAAACATTTAGAGTGTCAGTATTTTTTAACTGTTGCAGGAGTTGGGCGAGGAAAAGTAATACTTCTGTGGCTGCTGAAGTGTGGCAGAGTATTTTCCAGAGATTAAGAACTCTCTGATGACTCTGTCTTAGCCCATCTGTGTTTTAGTCCTTTTTCATTCTGGACAGAGTCCGTGTGTGATATTGACAAAGGATGTGAGGGAATGGTAGGCTGCATTTTCTGGAGGAAAAAAAATATCTCATTGACAAAATCGCCTGACAGTTTGTATACCTTGAGAACATTTTCACCACAGTTTATACAGGGAGAAGTCTGTGGTCAGAGCTATTTGTCTGCTTCTGCAACTGCTTTCTAGACTAGGAGCTCTGAGGAGGTCAACTTGCCAAATGGTTGGGAAAGTGATGCAATCTTCCAGTAATACACAGGCCTACATGTAGTCATGCTAAGACTTAATCTCCCTCTGAACTTGTTGAGTAAGCTAAGTGTAACTATTACGGTCGGCAAGATGTCTCTGGCATGTCCCTGGGTGACTCAGGAATGATGCTGCATAAGGGAAAGTGGTGTGGAAGGGTGGAAACCATTCTCTGTAATTTAGACAAGTGCAAATGGACTTGCTTCTGCTGAGTTGAAACAGTGGCTAGGTTTCCAGGATGGTCCTGGAGGGGGTTCAGCAGTGGGTTACCAGGATGGTGAAGGGCTTACAGGACATGCTCTCTGAGGAGAGACATTGAGGAGCTGGGCTTAGTCTGGGGAAGAGCAGACTCATGGTTGATGTAGTAGCAACCCTCAAACATTTGAAGAGAAGGTACAAAAGCAGTAGTGCCAGGGACTACTACTGTAAGAACAGACAGAGATAACAAATTGCAGCTTGAAGGTTCACACTGGATATTAGGAAAACAGCTCTTCACTGTGAGGATAGTGAAAATTCAGAGGGATTGTGGAATCATCAAAATTTAACAGTACAGAGTGGTGGCTGACTTCACAGAATCACTGAACTGTTGAGGTTGGTGGGGACCTCTGGAGATCACCTAGTACACCCTCTCCACTTCCATGTCCCAAAGCACTGCTGCAGGTTGCATTGAGCAGGTTGCTTGGGGCATTATCTTACTGAGTTTTGAATATCTGAAAGGACTGAGGCTCCACAGCCTCTCTGGACAACTTATTCCAGTATTTGACTGCTGCAAGAGTAAACTTTTTTTTTTTTTAATTATTATTATTATTTTATTACGTTCAAATGGAATTTCTTATTTTTAAATGGAATTTCATGTTTTTCAATTTGTGCTCATTGCTTCTTGTCCCTTTTTCTGGGCTCCATTCAGAAGAGTTTGGCTCCACCTTCTTTACTCCTGTTCTCCCTCAGATATTTATATGAGTTGTCAAGAGCCTCCCTGAACTCTCTCATCTCTTGCCTGAATAGTCCCAGCCCTCTCAGCCTCTACTTGTAGGGAAATGTTCCAGTCCCTTAATCATCTTTGTGGCGATCTACACTGAAGTAACTTCAGTACATCTGTGTCTTGCTTCTGCTGGGGAGCCCGGAACTGAGCACAGCACTGCAGATGAGTCTCAAAGAGGCTGAAAAGGAGAAGGATCAACTGCATTGACAAACTGCTGATGTTGTCCCTAATGCAATCTAGGACTTGATTTGGTATTGGCAAGGGTCTTGCTTTGGGTGGGACAGTGGACACAAAGTTTAATTGCATTAATGTTTTTGGCTATGAAGGTATGTGAGATGTCAACAAGAAGACTTGCTCAAAATTGCAAACCCCAGCAAACTATGAAAAGGAATAATAAAAAATATGCACTACAAAGAACTTGGAAAATGAAATAATTTGAAAGTTCATGTCAAAATGAAATCAAATTTAACCTGATTTTGAAAATTGCAGCATAAGAAACAGAAATCTTTGCTCCTAAATAGGAGGCAGATGAGTTGCAAATGAAGGCAGTAAGTTCCCCCTGTTCATACTGTGAGTGGGAGTTGAAGATGCATCTGGCAGGGAATGCTTGTTCCTTGTGGGCTAAGGCCATCTGAGAACAGGGACATTAGACAACATATTTGGTTTACTGTCATTTTATAAGCTCCCTCTTTCCAAGGGAATATGATAGAAAGAGATCAGATAAGCAGACAACTGCTGTGTCCCCTGCTGAATGAATGTGAAGTAATGAACCAGCTGTTCTTAGTGAGTAACATCATTAAAGTCAGACAAATTTCTTACTTGGCCTGGATTTATCACACAAATTCTGA